CGGCATCATTTCTCCTGTGGCCTGCATTCTGCAGCCTGCCCGGATGCCCCTAAGACAGAACTATTCCGCCTGGCTTTCAATTTGAACTTAGCCTGATCTTTTATTCCCCTTCGTTTCCTCCCCCTCCCCTTTTTATGAAGATTACCCGCTCTGGGATCCCACAGCTAATTCTCCCTTGGTCTCTACGCTGGCCCAAATAGGACTAACTTAGCCAGCTAGCCCTGGTGATCATCTAATGCTTATTGGATGGATTTCCCCCCCTAAATTGATTTTTGAATTCTGAATTTATTGTTTTTCCTGTTTTATACTGTATTTTATGCTGTTTTTTGTTGCATCAATTAAGTGTTTTGTTGTTAGCCGCCCTGAGCCCAGTTTTCTGAACTGGGAAGGGCGAGGTATAAATAAAAATTTATTATTATTATTACTTCCTAAAAACACTATGTCATCTTCGGATGGGCTAGTGCTTTTATTTTCTGGGGGGGACAGACTCAGGGGTATGCATACCCCTAAACATTTTGTGAATCTTCGTACTTTTGTCCATTTACTGTATTTATTTCCACCGATTTGAACTATAAAATGGTGATTTTCTTGAGTCAAAAGGAGAGTACTCCTAAACATTTTTTTTTAGGAAAAAAAGCACTGGGATGGGCTATTCTATAAGTGCAGGGAGGCGGGATACCAGCTGATTTTGTGTGTGTGTATGTGTGTGTGTGTTTGTAAGTGATTTTACTTGTAAATCACTTTTTAAAAGATTTTTTTAAGGCAAAAAGAAGAGCTTCCCGTTTAAACATAATCAGTGATCTCACCGATCTCAGGCATTTGGTAGTCAGCCCCCGCCCTCGGCATCTCATTCTTCAATGAGAGCCCAGGAAAAATATTCAAAAGGTGACCCCTTCCCAGGGGATATCTTCAGATCAGAAAGCATAGGCAGCCAGGGAGCTATAGAGTGCTGGAGATGTTTACTGAAAAGGAAAACACACAACCCTTGGCCATCTCACAGCAATAAGCCGAGATGATCCCTGTGCCCACCAAAATTCTGCGGAAATTCCAAAGTTTCTGTTTTGTGGCAATGGGAGGCAGGGAGAGTTGGCTCAAGCCCAGGATGGAATGGGTGTGAGGTGATATGTATGAGAGAAGTGAAGCTGGAGGAAGGAGCTAAGGATAAGTTTCTATGTTTCCTCTTGGCCAGTCAGATGCTCCTGGGAAGCCTATAAGCAGGGCATGAAGGCAACAGCTCTCCCTCATTATTGCTCTTCTTGACGCAGGAGCATGTGTCAGTTATCACATCATCATTCATTAGCAAAACCACGATCTCTGCAGACTTGGTTGAGGGTCAGGCCTTATGAGCAGAGCAGCTCATTCCCAGTTGTCTTTCTCCATGGAAATCAGTTGCCGAGACTGAAAGTTTCCACCTCCTCACAGCCATCTAAGTCTCCTCCTCCCCAGGGCTTCCCCCAAGGACTACGCCTGTGTGTAGTCAACATATCCTCCGCCCTTTTCATGCCTCTTCTGATTGTGGGAGACAAGGGAAGAGGGGAGCTAGACACTGCAGGAGAGGGAGGCACTCGTGACTCTTCACCAGCCTAATTCATCTCTATCTCTTGGCCTTTCTCCTCCCACTCTCTCTGCCACGGATTCTCCCAGCTCACTAAGCCCTGTTACCTCTTCTGCTACCGACAACTCCTCCTCCCAGTCTTCTCCCATTTCTTCCTCTCCCCACTCTTTGCTGTCCCACCACAAATCCCTGGGCTTTGAGTCAGTCAGTCAGTTTTATTGCACATAGCCAAAGACTGCCACAATGCACACAGAATCATTCAACAATTAAAAGAAAATATACTGGATTGATACAAAAGACTTAAAACATTTATATTATCAAAACATTACGTACTCTAAACAGAGCTATAAAAGTACCCCAATATACACATCAAGACATTCAACAATAAAATTCATAAGCTAAAATCATCACATGGCCACTAATATATTAAAAAACAATGTCAATTAATACAGTGTGCAATTATACTCGGAGTTTGGTGACAAAGCTAGAACATAGCCTGATGTAGATAGGGGCTCTGAGTCCTCTTCCCTTGGTGGTTTCCCAGTTGGTTTCTCCAACCAGTCTGTGTGTTCAACCAGTCCGTGACACCTCTGAACAAGGAAATTCACTTTAACCCTTGCCACAAAAAGTTTTTGATTGACATCAGGATTACAGAGATGGAAGTATTAATCATGATTCAGAAAGGGATGTTGCTATTCTGTTTTAAATCCATTCTTTGTGGGTGCTTTTTCCTGATCTCTCTCTCTCTCTCTCTCTCTCTCTCTCTCTCTCTCTCTCTCTTAGTGTGTGTGCTTCCTTGTTAAATTCTTTTGCTGACATGACTGAGCGATTTAATAAACTCCCAATGATCTTTTCTGAAGAGTTGTTTCTCTCCAGCCTCTAAGTCCCATCTAAGTTTCCGCCTGGATTTTCCCATGCCAGAACAAAAAGGCAATTAGCCCATTAAAAATAACAAGTTAGCGGCAAAGTGAGTTGGCTCCCCCCACCATTCCTCTTTTTTTTCCTGCCTGTAGATTTTATGCCACACACAAGTCAGAACAGGAGTCATGGGGCTTAATTCTTTCTGGATTACAGTCCAATCAGGGCTTGTTTAAACTTCACCCACGTGGAAGAGTAATCCATAGACAAAGAGAGAGTGAGAGGGAGAGAGTTACACTTACATTTCAAGGGCAAAAAGGACCTCCTGGCTTTGAAAAGCCAGATGGGGGTCTCTCTCCTGCTCTTTCTCGTCTTCTGTTGCAAAGACCTTGCAGTCTACGATTCAATCCAATTTCCTATGGAGAGTCTGTTTAAAGGATATTACAAAAACATTGCTAATAGAAAACCCACTTTCTACGCCAACAGCTTTTCAACATCCACACTTTAGTCCAATGTCTAGAAAGCGTGGATATGAGCAGTTTTCCACTTTTCCTGTGCTAGGCATGGGGTCTGAGTGGTTTTACCTTTGCCTTGCTGCTTTCTCCCTGCTGTTCTAAATTGGAGCAAACCATCTAAAGGAAACCTGACTGACTTTTGCTCCAATTCAGCGGTAAAGATCAGGTTTTCCCAGGGGAAAGGGGTGGAGCGAGTGGAAGTGTGGGCAAATCCAGAATTGCTGGTATCTCTTCATTGAGTCAGCTACTCCTGCCTTATCCCTCTACAGTGGTACCTCAGGTTACATACCCTTCAGGTTACATACACTTCAGGTTACAGACTCCACTAACCCAGAAATAGTGCTTCAGGTTAAGAACTTTGCTTCAGGATGAGAACAGAAATTGGGCTCCGGCGGCACAGCAGCAGCAGGAGGCCCCATTAGCTAAAGTGGTGCTTCAGGTTAAGAACAGTTTCAGGTTAAGAACGGACCTCCAGAACGAATTAAGTACTTAACCTGAGGTACCACTGTATACTGTATTTCCAGGCCCCCAAACAGTACATTTTCCACCTCCCCAATAAAGCCAGGTGCTAAGAAAGTGACAAATTTTCCTCCCCGGCTTCAAAGGGTTCCCGGAGATGCATTTATACCCACTTGTGTTTTCAGCAGAGTTGGGGTAAGTGCCTGGCGCCATATTATATCATAGTCGAAACATCCGTGTGCCTCGGGCCTCGCCAGGTGAGCTTGGTGTTCCATATTGGTTCAGCCTGACAAGTGGAAACAAATCTAGACAGGTTCTTTGCGCCCAAATGGTTCGAGACTTGGCTGCTTTCCTCTCTTATACTGAGCTGCGCCAGCTTCATAGATATTGATGTCTGCAGCTCAGCCTTAACGAAAAGGAGTGAATATTTCAGCATTCAAAGAACCGTTTTTCCCTCTGGAACCCTGCACTTCAGTGACAACCAGAATAGGGAGAAAACACAATGATGAGCTGGGGTTTGCTTTGCTCGTGGAAAACTTGTTCCAAGCGTGTCTGTATCTCTACATATGAGGTAAAAAAGGTAAAGGACCCCTGGAGGGTTAAGTCCAGTCAAAGGCAACTATGGGGTTGCAGCGCTCATCGTGCTTTCAGGCCGAGGGAGCTGGCGTATAGCCGCAAACAGCTTTCCGGGTCATGTGGCCAGCAGGACTAAACCACAACGGGACACCGTGACGGAAACCAGAGCGCACAGAAATGCCGTTTGCCTTCCCGCCACAGCGGTACCTATTTATCTACTTGCACTGGCGTGTTTTTGAATTGCTAGGTTGGCAGGAGGTGGGACAGAGCAACCCCTTCATGGGGATTCGAACCGCTGATCTTCTGATCGGCAAGCCCAAGAGGCTCAGTGGTTTAGACCACAGCGCCATCCGCATCCCTCATCTATGTATGAATGAACTGTGAGAGGTCATACTTTGTTGTAATCTATGGAAAGACTCTTGAGAGTCCCATGGACTGCAAGAAGATCAAACCTATCCATTCTGAAGGAAATCAGCCCTGAGTGCTCACTGGAAGGACAGATCCTGAAGCTGAGGCTCCAATACTTTGGCCACCTCATGAGAAGAGAAGACTCCCTGGAAAAGACCCTGATGTTGGGAAAGATGGAGGGCACAAGGAGAAGGGGACGACAGAGGACAAGATGGTTGGACAGTGTTCTCGAAGCTACCAGCATGAGTTTGACCAAACTGCGGGAGGCAGTGGAGGACAGGAGTGCCTGGCGTGCTCTGGTCCATGGGGTCATGAAGAGTCGGACATGACTAAACGACTAAATGACTAAACAACAACAACATGGAAAGGGGCTGGAGCTCTGGGCTGGAGCATCTGCTTTGCATGTAGAAGATACCAGGTTCAACCACCAGCATCTCTCCATAGGGCTAGAGATGTCCCCTGTCTTAAACCCTGAAGAGATGTTGCCAGTCAGTGTAGACAGCATTGCGCTAGATGAACTGATAGGCTGACTCACTTTAAAGCACATGCTTATGTTCCAACTCTTTTTCTTTTTTTTCCAGGAGGGTCAGGGGGCTTTGATTGGTGCCATGGGGTGCCCGTGTGAGGGTGCCAGGGGGCCCACAGGAACACCAGATTTAGGTAAGGGGGGGTGGTCTCTTGGGAGCATGCACAGAGCGGAAGGTGAGAGAGGAGTGGGCACTTTTACAAACTCTGTTCTCGTGAAAACGAGAAATATTTGGAGAGGTGTGTGTGTCGATTTCTTTCCTCACTCAGGGTGCCATGTTACCAAAGTCTGCCCCAGCCTTTTCATTACAAGAAGTCAGTTCCACCAAAGCCAGTTGCAACAATAAGGTCTTCGCCTGCCGTCGGAAGGACAAGAAGGAAAGAAGAAGAAGAAGAGTTTGGATTTGATATCCTGCTTTCTCACTACCCAAAGGAGTCTCAAAACGGCTAACATTCTCTTTTCCCTTCCTCCCGCACAACAAACACTCTGTGAGGTGAGTGGGGCTGAGAGACTTCAGAGAAGTGTGACTAGCCCAAGGTCACCCAGCAGCTGCATGTGGAGGAGCAGAGACGCGAACCCGGTTCACCAGATTACGAGTCTACCGCTCTTAACCACTACACCACACTGGCTAACTTCTTTACGAAGGGAGCCACCTCCGAGAAGGCCCTCTCCATTGTTCCCAGGGTGGTGGGGCTGAGAGAAGGACTTTCCCTGAAGAGCTCAGAACCCAGGCAGGATCATGTGAGGGAATATGGTCTTTTATATAGCCTGGACCTAAGCCATGGAGGGCTTCATAGGTCATAACCAGCACTTTCGATTGTGCCTGGAAACAGACCAGCATCCAGCGGAGCTGTTGTAACAAAGCAGCCATATGCTCCCTATGTTCTTAGGGAACTCTGGACCATTTCCTGACCCGCTACAGAAAAACTGAGGTTGATTTGCCTGCTACCCAGCCAGCCAGCTGCTTTGCACCCTCTGGTTCCCTCTTAAAATAGCATCTATGATATACTACCGTTTCTCAACATTAGCCACTGAACAGGCCTCCTCCTGAGTATATTTCCCCAGAAGGCTGGGCCCGCATTACGTATGATGTGCATGATGTGAAACAAAGGTGGCATTATTTTGCAAATTAACATTTAACTTTAATTGTTCTTTTCAGCATTTGTTTGCAGCTGCTCCATCAGAACACACAGAATCGGAGCGGAAAAGGTCACGTTTTTTGAATGAAGACTCGATCGGAAAGCGCCTGGGCTCCAAGTCACCATTTTACCTTCTGTTGCGGGGTGTGTGTGTGAAATGCAATGAAAAATGAAGGGCAAAGTTAAGAAAGAAAAACCAGGGGAAAGAAAATAACACCCAAATTGCCAGGCCACTTTGCATTAGAATCATACAAGGGAGGTTTGTAATGGCCTCTACCTCAGCACCCCCTGGAAAGGGAGGGAAAAGAATAACCAATTTGCTCCCATGTGGCTGGAGAGGAAAATAGCCTTGAGGAAAAGTTATTGACGCAGTGTATTTATGTAGGGTTGTAAGACGGATTATGCCATCAGCAAATAAGGTCAGGGTGGCAGATTGTATTACTGGGGGAAAATAGGTAATGTGGAGAAAGAAAGAGGTTCGTTCTGCAGCAGTTGAACCTTGAAGCAAGTGGAGAAAGGGGGGTGTAATTGGGATACACAAAGTAGGCGCAAATGGACGGGCCAAGGGAAAATGGCCGCCCAAATTCTCCACGCTATTTGTGGGTGCTGAAATCAAGAGGTGGGCATTTGGCAGGTGGGTTTTTTTTTTTTTGCTGAATATTGTTGTTGGGGGGAGATTTTCTTCAGAAAATTATTATTATTATTATTATTATTATTATTATTATTATTATTGGCTCACTTAGGCTACAATCACACCATACATTTAAAGCACTATGATCATAGCTGTCAACTTACAGATTTGAAAATAAGGGACCAGCAGCCTCGAAAATAAGGGATCAGCAGCCAAAATAAGGAATTTTAGTCAACCAGCAGCCAAATGAAGACTCAAGCGGTGGTTCCCACAGTGCAGCAACCCAGCAAAGGGGATGCAGCAAGGGAAACCACCATCACCTAGACTCCTTATCGGGTGAGCAACACAGCCAAGCAACACAGTTGGAGCCTCCCTCCTCCCTGGCCGGCAGGGAGGGAGGGAGAGGAGCTGCTTCCTTTGAAACCCAGGAAATTTAAGGGACATCATCAATAAAGGACAGCAGCGGGACACAGCGCTGGGATAAGGGACTTTCCCGCCAAATAAGGGACGGTTGACAGCTATGACTATGATGCCACTTAAAGCATTATGATGCCCCCCACAAAGAATTCTGGGAGTTGTAGTTTGTTAAGGGTTGTTAGGAAACTCCTATTCCCCTCACAAAGTTACCATTTCCTAGAGTTGTTGATCCTTGAAGCAAAAATGGCAGCAACAAGAAATACCGACGAAATAAGAATGGCAGACGAAGGTGATGATGGACTTTGCGGAACTGGCGAAGCTGACCGGAAAAATCCGAAACCAACGTGATCAAACTTTCCAAAAAGACTGGAGTAAATTTATACAATATTTAAAGGACCACTGTATACAATTAACAACACTAGCAGGGTTGTAAGGAGTCTTGTAATGATAATTGTCATTACCTTTTAATATTTATTTAAAAGTTGTGATATTCTGAATGAGTGAAACTGGAAAATGTATAAATGCTATGATATAAAAATTAACTTTGAAAACCATGAGGCGGGAGGGAAGGAAGTCGACAGGCTCTTAAGAGCAAAAGAAATGGATAATGAGGATGTGTTTAAATATTATAAAATGGAAACTTAATAAAAATATTACACACACACACAATTTCCTAGAGTTCCCTGTGAAGAAGTTTTGATTGTTCGACCGCTCTGGAAATTGTAGCTCTTGGAGGAGAATACGGGGTCTCCTAGCAACTCTCAGGGTCCTAAACAAACTACAGCTCCCATAACTCTTTGGGGGAAGCTAAAGTGGTATTATAGTGCTACAATTGCATGACGTGACTGTGCCTTAATGTCAAGTGCAGCTCTGTCGTTAGACTGCGTTGGTAGACAAAACGAAGCGCTGAACTAAGAGAGGAGGAATGAGAAAAGCAGGGACAGGCCCAAGGCTTCCTCCAACATGTGGAGGTGAAAAAACAGGGTGCCGTCTTCCGAGGCTGCACTTCTGCACGGGTCACATGACCCATGTACGGTCGTGCCCCTGGAAAAAGTGGGGTTTTGGGGGGTGAGATCGTGGCATAAGATCAAGGCAAGCAAAATGGCCACCGTGCTCTTGTGTGAGAAAGCAGGTTGTGGTGGGGTTAACCAGACATCCCCTGTTGCTGGGCAAGCTGGTTTGGTTGGCCCACTGTGTGATTGGACTCCTTGGGTTTCTGGGGAGAGTGTGATGTTGCTATTATTGATTGACAGCCTGGGTTGATATATATATATATATTTCCCGCATGAAGCGTATAGCTCTTTTCGCTCTGTGCATTGGATTGCCTGCCCCCCCCCATATTTAGGGTTGTTCGCATTGACCTTGCTATGTCTGTCATGGGGTCGTCTGCTCTTGGGGCAGGGGCCTGGTAGGAATTTTGTCCATCTGGCTGTTTGGCTGGTGCCATTTGGTTTTTGCCTACTGCGTAAATCTTCACAACTTGTAAGGTTGCGGTTAGGCATTGGTTTATAGAAAAATTGGTTGGTGGAGGGTTAGGGATTGGCTGTGACTACCCCTACTATGTTGTTGCTGCAAGGGTATTCAATTAAAGGAATCCAGGGGCTCACCATGCTTTTGTCTGCACCCCTGTAAAAGGGGATAGGGCCACACAAGAGCCCCTGGGAGCATTTGGGGAGAGGTGAGGGTCTGGTACCCAGCTCCATTTACTCCCCATAAAATGTTTTCCCTTACTGACTTCGCAGGATTGCGGATGTCAGTTCTGTCCCGGGGCGGGGACAGATAGTCGCAACCAATGCAGACGATATTAAAAAATAAATTTAAGGAACCGCAGAAAGAGAGGGAAGGAGGTCAGACTTTGAAATGTTGAAATGATTGTCAAATTAATGAAATGTATAAATTTGAAAAGTATGTATTATTATTTTTTTTTAATTGCATGCACTATTATCAATTCCACTTCTTACATGCCCTTTTCCCCCTAAACAAAAAGGCCCCAAAGAGAGTTCCTTGGGGCTGAGGGGCTGGGGAGAGTCACTCCACCTCCTTGTTTTGGTTGCCATTTACTGAACCTTTTCTATCTCTGCAATATCCTTCTGGAGTTGCTTCCTTGCATAAATGCACCTCAGTCCCCGTTCAGGACGCCAGCTGGCTTCCTCTTGCTCGAAGGACTGATTGGCTTCCTGTTGCTTCTGCATCCTACCCACTCTATTCCGAGTTTTAATAGAGAAACACACTTTATTTATTTGTTGGAACTTTTTTTTTTAACGAAAACCACTTTTCTGTCCTAACGAGGCCCTCCTAAGGTGGTTGACAAAAGAGTGAAATCAACAAAATGCCACCAATGAACAAAAATGAAAATTTAAACCTTAAGATCAAAAGGAGCAGAGTTTTAACAGCCACATGGAATAAGTGGACCTGGAAAAATACACAGAAGCCAAATAAATTAGACCTAATGGGGAAAATACAGGAGCATTTAAATGTGATTACATTGATAAAAAAAATCAAGAAATGAGGAAAAGTACATAGAAGTGCTGAATTAGGGGAGTTATATAACTATAAGCATATTAACAGAGCACTGGAACTCTTTGTTGCTATAATTGATTACAGTGCTTAAATGGATTTAAATTTGAGTGGCTAGCTAGGGTGCAAGTGAGAAAATGTATGACAGAAGATAATTTCTATTATAGAGTCAGATGCATTTTTTTGTAGTATAGGTTTGTTTTAGATTGATAAAGTGCATGTTTAATAAAATTGCATATTTCAACAGAGCAAAACAGCCAAGCAGAATACGAATGGTTTCATTGCCCACCAAACACCATCAGAGATGGGGCTAGTCTAACCTCCTTTGGAAGACAATTCCACAACCATGGTGCTTTATAAGAAAAGCACCTGCCTCATCTTCCCTCTTTTACCCTTTCGCAGCAAAAACAAGAGAGCGTTGTGTTGGGATACTGCCAGGGAGATAAAGTCCATCATGGCCCCCAAGCCGTCTGCCGGACGATCCATCTACCTCCCGTAGGCACTCAGCGACATGAGTTTCTAGAAAATATCTTGTACACATTCCAGAGCTCATGCACGCTCTATCAGCAGATAAATGCACAGCCAAAAGTTGCAGTCAGGAGAGCATTATTTACAAGTTTATTCAGCGTTGATCAGAACACAGAAAACATGACTGCCTGCTGATTTAGTGTCTGCGACACCAGAGAGAAAACGAAAGCAACAGAAAACATAAACATCCTGTGAACAGGAAATACGCAGACTCTGACTCACAAAGCCTGCTCCCTTTTAAGGTGGAACGGAAATATCCTAACATCCTCCCCCTTTCCGTGTAACCTGTAGTACCTGTGGTTCAACCCAATTGCAACCTTTGTACGTAAACCTTAAGTTGTTCTCTGTTAACAACCTTAGACAACAGATCAGCAGGAATTTCATTTCCTGGCATGTAGGACACCTGAATGAGTCCTTTCTGAATACACTCCCTTGCACGATGTAGCTTAATCTGCAAGTACTTGGTCCTTTGCTTGCAACTCTCCGAGTTCAGCAAAGCCAAACACGATCTATTGTCTTGATACACTTGTACAGGACATTTCACAGAAACTCCGATGTCCTTAAACAGTTGCATCAACCATTCACAATCCATGAGTGAAAATGACAGAGCATTGAGTTCTGCTTCACAGGAACTTAGGCTCACTGTCGTCTGCTTTTTGCACAACCAGTCAAACAGGCAGTGGTTGTACATGTAGCATACTCCAGAAGTGCTTGTACCATCCGTGGTGTCACTTCCAAAACTTGCATCTGCAAAGATTTCAAGACCTCCAGTCTTCTGACTGGTGAACCTCAGCCTGTAGTGCAAAGTCCCTTTCAAATAGCGGGCTATGCGCTTCAGAGCTTTCCAATCCTGAACAGTAGGATTGTTCGCATGTCTGCTAAGCAGGTTACAGCTTACAGCTATGTCAGGTCTTGAGCATCTAGCAATGAAATTCAACTTGCCTAGAATGCATCTGTACAGCGTTGTGTCAGAAAACGCTTCAGCAGTACTGTCTACCTGGTAACCTGTCACCATCGGTGTGTCTGCTGGGTTTGCATCAACCAAATTCAACCTGGTTAATACATCAGTAATTTTCTGTGTTTGGTGTACCAGAAAATTACCTGCTTGGTCCCTCTCCACCTGCAGAGAAAGATAGTTGGATACCTCACCAAGATCCTTCATGTCAAAGTGCTCCTTCAGCTGAGCTAGGGTGCTTTGGTACAAAGCCTGATTCTTCCAAAACATCAGAAGATCATCAACAAAACATAAACAATACAGTTTGTTTTGCCCCTCCTCCTTGACAAACACACATGGATCAGCTTTGCCCTGGTGAAAACCTAGAGAAAGCAATGTCTCAGTGAGTTTTGTGTTCCAACACCTGGCACTCTGCTTGAGACCATACAAGGATTTCCGCAGTTTACAGACCATTCCCTTCTGTATCTGCATCCCGTCTGGTGGACGCATAAACAGCTCCTCCCCCAAAACCCCGTACAAAAAAGCTGTATTAATGTCATGATGGGAAACATGCAGTTTCTCCTCCGCAGCAATCTTGAGCATCAGCCGAATGCTCTCATATTTGACGGTGGGTGAGTAGGTCTCGTGGTAATCCTGTCCTGGTACCTGTGAAAAACCTCTGGCAACCAATCTGGCTTTGTGTCTGACAACCTTGCCATTCTGGTCTGTCTTGGCCTTGAAGACCCATTTGCTGCCAACCAGTCTCATTCCTGGGACAACCGGTACCAGTTCCCAAGTTTGGTTCCTATTCAAGGAATCAACTTCAGCCTTCATGGCATTAAGCCAAGGCTCAGCATCTTTAGAGGTTAACTCCTGAACCTCTTTGAAGCTTGAAGGTTCCCACACCTTCTCTGAGCTACTAAGAACAGCAGTTGCTGTCTTAGCAAACTCATCAGCAAATCTCTTTGGAGGTCTGCCCTTTGTGGCTCTTTCAGATCTGCGTACTAGACGCAAGTCTTCTGGACTCATCTCCTCCTTCTTAGGAGAAAAGTGACCAATGGTGAACAGTGGTTCTTCCAGTTCATTGTCAGACGTATCAGATGGTCTGACTGAGGCCTTTGCGCTCTTGTAGTCTGCTGTGTCATCACTGTCACTGACACCAGCAGCAGCGCCGCCCACTGAACTGGAATCCGAACTCTGATCATCATCATCATCATCATCCTCAGCAGCTTCCTCAGCTTTAGCTGCTTCTTTGACATCACCTTCATCCTCCTCTGGGTAACTCTGGAAAATTCCCACATTTTCCCCCCACTTAGGATTGTACTCAACACTCTTTGTGAACTTAATGGACTTAGAGTTGGTCATCCACACCCTGTATGCACCTTTTCGTACCCCATGAACAAACCATGTGCCCCACGCTTCCCAAGCTTGTTGCTCTGTGGGGTGTGTACCCACATGTCAGAACCAAAGATTCTCATGTGCTTGATGTTGGGTTTCTTACCAAACATCTTCTCATAGGGGGTACAACCAATAGGTGATGACAATCTGCGATTATAAGTGTAAACATACGAGTTCAAAGACTCCCCCCAAAACTTCTCAGGGAGATTGGCATCATGCAACAATGTTTTCAGTCCTTGCAGCAACATTTGCTTTGCTTGCTCACAAATCTCCCATGGAGATCCAGGACTTGAGAGGCTATGCTGGATTCCCTTCTCAGTCAGGAAAGCTTCAAACTGCCGAGAAGTGAATTCAGCCTCTCGATTAGTAAACAAACAGCCAATACGTTTACCGTGAACATTCTCCAACCAAGCACAGAATGCCTTGAACTTAGGAAACGCTTGCGATTTCTGCTCGAGCATAAACACATGAATGTACCTGGAAAAGAATCAATTAGAACCATGAAGTACCTTGCTCCACCCAAAGAGGGCGCAAGTGGACCAACCAGGTCTGCGTGCACTAGCTGGTAGGGTTTGGAAGCCTGCCTGCTAGACTCCTTGCCTTTTGGAGCAACCTTCACCTTGTTCTCTGCACAAGATACACATTTCATGTGAAACTTACAGGGTTTGATGTTCAAACCCTCAACCATCTCTGGCATCTTGGCCAGCGCCTGCCAAGACATGTGACAAAATCTTCTGTGTGCATCATGAATGCATCCTGCATGAAGAACTTTGTTAGTTTGTGCAACACAACAAGAATCAGCATTAGACACAACAGCACCAATGTCATCATAAGTTATACAGAACAAGCCATCCATAAACTTTGCATGCAAAATGTCCTCTTTGCCTTTTCTGATGACACAGACGCTCCTCTTGAAGGAAATCTCAAAACCACGCCCAGTAAGCTGTGGGACACTGAGCAAATTGTCTGCAGCACCTGGAACATATAGTACATCTTTGATGGTAGTGTGCAGACTTGCCAGTTTCACAGTCCCTTCTCCTGCAATTCGCAACGTCTTCCCATCAGCCAGGTGGATCTCACCTTCTTGAGGTTTGAAGGAGATAAATAGGTGGCGGTCCTTTGAGATATGGCGGGTACAGCCTGAATCAACAACAAACCTGGCCTTGGCTTTTGGAGCAGCCTTTGCAGCAAGCAAAACCTTGTTTTCCACCGGCGTGGGCTTTTGCAGCTTGCCCCCCTGCTCCTGGCCATCAGACTTGCCTTTAGCCTTTGGTGAAGCTGTGCCAGCAAACAAAGCATTGTTTTTCCCTGGCTTGGGCTTTCCACCCCCCCTCTGCTTCTTGCCATCTGCTGGCTTCTTCCTTTGTTTACCTTTGCCCTTCCGGCCTCTGCAAAGGCGATGACCTTGGCTCCCACGAGAAACAGAGCTCTCAGCTGCCGACTCCTTGGCTCCCCCTGGAGGCTGGAATGCTGCCTGGGATGACGTGACAGTCAGCTCCCCCTGCAGTTTGCAACCGGTGCCCTCGGCATCCCTGCATTCACTCGCATTCTGGGAAACAGCCAGGACCTCCGACGCAGTCAAACTCTGGGCTGGGATGACTGGCTGATGGGCTATCTTCAAAGCATGCCACATATTACGTGCAGTCAGATTGCCAGCTAGCGTTTTTATTTCCTCCAGAGAGACGGACAAGACGATTACGTCTATCGCCCTCAAATTTTCGGACTCCCATCTTTCTGTCAGAGGAACTGGAGGGGCTTCAGACACAGTATGCCACACTCCAAACTGACGCAGCAAACTTTCACACCATTTTGCCCAGGTCTGGTAGTTGTGCCGATTTAACTTTGGGCACTCAGCAGCCTCAGAAGCGTGGAAAAACTCCATTCCAGGTTTCTACTTGAGCCGTGAGCCTTATTCACTTCAGAGATGTCTTATCTCAGCAGCTCATAAATCTTGAGGCCTGCTGGGCTCGACGCCCAGACCAATTAGGCCTGCCAGACATCAAAGCTCTTGCCGCGGCAAACAGAAAAGCCTCACTTTCGCTTTTCTTCCACATACCTCTCAACGCAGTCTGTCGCAGTCTTACTCTCCTGTAAGTGCTGTGAATCTGGGCCCGAAACCTGTTGTTGGGATACTGCCAGGGAGATAAAGTCCATCATGGCCCCCAAGCCGTCTGCCGGACGATCCATCTACCTCCCGTAGGCACTCAGCGACATGAGTTTCTAGAAAATATCTTGTACACATTCCAGAGCTCATGCACGCTCTATCAGCAGATAAATGCACAGCCAAAAGTTGCAGTCAGGAGAGCATTATTTACAAGTTTATTCAGCGTTGATCAGAACACAGAAAAACATGACTGCCTGCTGATTTAGTGTCTGCGACACCGAGAGAAAACGAAAGCAACAGAAAACATAAACATCCTGTGAACAGGAAATACGCAGACTCTGACTCACAAAGCCTGCTCCCTTTTAAGGTGGAACGGAAATATCCTAACACGTTGTGCCACCTTAAAGACAAAATTAATGAAGAAGAGAAGAAG